TGCATCCAGAAAGCATGCAGACTGCTTTTCTGTGGTATGAACTGACCCTAAACCCAACATTATATAGAGTATTAGTATAGGTTACAGCACGGCACAGTCTAAGGCACACAATTCACACACAAAGGTCTCAAAACATAGTCAGGAAATTGTCTGAGATCCTAAAAATCAAAGGCTGGAAAGTTTTTGGTTCTGATAAGTTGCAAAAAAAGGTACATAAAAAAAAGTAAAATGAAAAAAGTTGTTTTATTGAGTTAATATATTTGTTACCTTGTAACTGTTGTTTGCTTTGCAGAAACATCAATGAGCTGCAGCACTGATCTGTTTATTCTCACAGCAACAAGGTGTTGCTCTCAGAATATATACAGTAGGTCAGTGCTTGCAGCGCTGCGGAAGGAGGTTTCTCATCCATGGTTAAAAAGAGAACTTGTATGCCCAAGCATGAGGGACCTGGGGTGGTCAGTGGGCAGATTGCTCCTATGCTTTGGCATATTTTCATTTTTTTGGCACAGATTTCAATTTAAAAAGAAGAATATATGCCCAATGGAAGGTGAATGGAGGAATCTGTTAGGTTCTTTTTTTCACTCAGCCCACGTGCTGAATGAAAAACGAACATTACTTGTATGCCCAACATTAGAGATGGGTGGATGCAGGGTGTAGGTTTTTCTGTCAGAGATTTCTTTATCCACATCAATTGATGTGAATGGAGGACTCTGTTAGGTTTTTCTTTTTTTTCGTTCAGGCCATGGGCTGCATGAAAAAGAACATTACATGTATGCCCAACAAGGACCAGCAACGTACTGGTATATTGCTGTACTTGAGTGGTTATACCGGGATGATGCCCATCATCAGTAAAAAAAATCAAATAATTAAAAAAAAAAAAATTAAAGAGCGCCCCATGCTCGTTTGCAAATGCGAACACACGCATCAGTCCAGCATTGGTATGTTAACAGTGATCACACCACACATGAGGTATTACCGCAAACGTCAGATCAAGGGCAGTAATTCTAGTACCAGACCTCCTGTGGAAATCTAAAGTGGAAACCCGTAAAGGCTTTTTTTTTTAAAATATGGAATGCTTCACGAATTTGCGTATCATCCTTGCGCAGGGGCCATTCTAATCTTCTCAGTATCGTTCCAATTTTAGTATATGTGCTGCCGAAACAAGCACAACCTGTAAAGGCTTTTAAAGCATCACTATGGATAATAAAAATTTACGTAGTTTGGTATCTATTTACTCGGCGTAACATCTTTTACATTTTACCAAACAACTAGGTATTACATAGTATTTTTGTGCATTACAATTCAAAAAAGTGTATTTTTTTTAAAAAAAGTAATTTTTCCAAAACAATTGTGTTAAAGAAACCTCTGTGCATATACCATGTGACATAAAAAAATTGCAACACCCACCACTTTATTCTCCAGGGCCTCTGCTTTTAAAATATATGTTTGCGGGTTCAAAGCAATTTTCTAGCAAAAAACACTGATTTTTTTTTTGGGTCTTCAAGTGGTTACAAAAGTGGGTGACCTGTGGCAGAAGTTTCTAATGTTGGGCATAAAATGCTATTTCAGTTCAAACACCCTCCAATTGACCCCCTTTTGGAAAGTAGATGCCCCATGATATTTGTTGAGAGGCATGTTGAGTGCATGGAAGATTTTATTTTTCACCACAAATGTTTGCGTAAAAGGAAAAAAAAAAAATAATTTTCCAAAGTTGTTAATTTAATGAGATTTCTCACATTTGCCATGGGTATATCTGGAATTACACCCTAAAACACATTTTTCTACTCCAGAGTATGGGGATACCACATGTGAGTGACTTTTTGGCAGCCCAGCCACGCATGGGGGCCGAAAACCAGTGACCAGCTTCAGGCTTTGAAAGGCTGTAATTTTCTCACGACCTTTCCTCACTACCTATTACAGTTTTTGAGGCCTTGAAATTCTAGAATAGTCCAATAATCCTTCAAATAACACCTTTTTGGAAAGTAGACATCCCAAGGTATTTGCTGTGAGGCATGTTGAGTTCCTGGAAGATTTTATTTTTTGCCACAAGTTTTTGGAAAATTGGAGAAACCTTGGAGTATCTACTTTCCAAAAAGGGGTAATTTTTTTTTTTGGGGGGGGGGGGGTGTACTATTCTGGCATTTCAGGGCCTCCAAAACTGTGATAGGTAGTCAGGAATTGAAGTGAAGGAATTACGCTATTTGAAAGCTTGAAGGTGGTGATTGGTTTTTGGCCCTCCTACATGGCTAGGCTCCGAAGAAGTCTCACACATATGGCATCCCCATACTCAGAGAAGTAGCAGAATGTGTTTTGGGGTGTAATTTCACATTTACCCATGGCATGTGTGAGAAATATCTTAATGAAGTGATGACCTTTTTGGCAAAAAATAAAAACTTAGGGCCAACATCTCCTAAAAAATACTGTGTCTACTTTCAGGGGTCATTTGGTGAGGGGGTGCTTGTAGCCTGGCAACAAAACTGAAGAAATGTCAGCCTTTAAAAGCCTGAAGGTGGTCATTGGTTTTCAGCCCCCGTATGCCGCTAGGCCCCAAAAAGTCTCACGTGTGGTATCTCCATACTCTGGAGAAGTAGGAGAATGTGCTTTGAGGTGTAATTCAACATATATCTATGGCATGTTAGAAATATCTCATTAACTTGACGCCTTTGTGTAAAAGAAAAAAAAAAAAAAAAAATTTTTTGAAAAACTTGTAACAAAAAATAAAATCTTCCATGGGCTCAACATGCCTTTCAGCAAATTGCTTGGTGTCTATGTTCCAAAAAGGGGTTACTTGGGTTTTTTTTGTACTGCCCTGGCATTTCAGTACCTCAAGAAATGTGACAGGCAGTCAGAAAGTAAAAGCTGCGTAAATTCCAGTATATATACCATTGTAGACACGCTAACATTAACACAAACCAATTATTATACACTTAGGCACCTTTCACATGGGTGGACCAATCGGGTCAGCCTGTACGGTTTTAATGCAAACCCAATCTGACCAGCCATTGCCCTTTATGGAACAGTGGCTGTAGACAAACATCTGTCCGTTTACACCCGCCTGCATTTGATATGATCCTATCCGCTAAGGTAGTCTGTTTACATCTGACTGCCCACAGAGGACAGTGTCCACACTGCATAAGTGGAGCGGACACGAACCTGTCATCTGCCTGCTCAGAGGGAATCACCAGACAGATCCACTGGTGGAGTCCGCCTGTGTGAAAGGGTCTTTATTGGTATTTTTTTTCCAAAGACATGTAGAACAGTACATTTTGGCCTAAATTCATGACGAAATTTGAGTTTATAGGACATTTTTATAACAACGTAGAAAATATTGGTTTTTTTTTTTTTTTTTCAAAATGTTGTCTTTTTTTGTTTTTTATCGCAAAAAAAACTGGGGCAATCAAATACCACCAAAAGAAAGCTCTATTTGTGTGAAAAGAAATGATAAAAATTTCCTTAGGGTACAGCAGTGCATTACCATGCAAATGTTCTCCGTGCCTGTGTGGGTTTCCTCCAGGTACTCCGGTTTCCTCCCACACTCCAAAGACATGCTTGTAGGTTAATTGGCTCCGGTCTAAATTGGCCCTAGTATGTGTATGTATTATTATTATTATACAGGATAGCGCCAACAGTTTGCGCAGCACTTTACAAAATGAAGGTAGACATTATCCAAGTACCGCCCAGCACGCACACTCCGCTCCTCACAAGACCTCCTTCTCTCTAGTTCGCTGGTCTCCTCCTCCCATGCCCGCCTCCAGGACTTCTCCAGGGTGTCACCCATCCTCTGGAACTCCCTGCCCCAACCCATCAGATTATCACCTACTCTCCTCTCCTTTAGGCGCACCCTGAAAACCCATCTCTTCAGGGAAGCCTACCCCACCCCCTGCTAACCTGCCGACCTCATACACTCTTCCTACCACTCCATCCCCCACAGCTATCTCCTCCTGTGCCACCATCCCCTCCCTCCTAGATTGTAAGCTCGAAGGAGCAGGGCCCTCGATCCCCTCATGTTTTGCATTGTATTGGTATTGTTCTGTCACATGTTCTGTCCCCCTTTGTAATGTACAGCGCTGAGCGAACTATTGGTGCTTTATAAATACTGTATAATAATAATAATAATTACAGTTACAATACAATTTGGTACAAGAGGAAAGAGAGGGCCCTGCTTGTTAGAGCTTACATCAATATGAGTTAGGGATCTTAGACTGTACTCCCCTTGAGGGTTATGCAGGCCGTACATGATTCAAATTCCAAACGATTTTTAGTCCGAAAATCGGAAACGTTCGCTTGGTAATCCAATGGTGCCATCATTGATTTCGAAAGTCATAAAGTTCACCCCATATAACAAGGGAAAGTTCTGTTCCTTCCAGGTCACGGCTCATACGCATATTCTTTTCGGAAAAACGATCCTACGATTTGACCATCATTGAGTTGAAAATCGGTCGTTTTTCACAAATTTTCCAACACGCCCGATCACTGTAAATCGGCTGGAGTCATTGACCCACTAACAGAGCGAAAATCAGTCGATTATTCTTAGGTTTGATTTTTGGATGAAAAATCAGTGAATTTCGACGCATGTATGGCCGGCCTTAGGGACTGATGTGAATGTACAATATATATATATATATATATATATATATATATATATATATATATATATATATATATATATATATATAAAGTAATGGTGCTATACAAGTACCTTTAATAAATAATAATTACCAGTTAAAGTAGCGCAGTGCCGAATAGCACAACATGGCTAGGTAATGAAGGGGGTAAAACCTTCTGGGGTGAAGTTGGTTTATAGATATGTGTATATATATGTTTGTTTTTATTGTCTGTTATGTGTAGCTGTATATCCTGCAGGGACCATTCCACATCCTAGAACACAGGGCTCCCCATTGATTGTATTCACAGACACATGTATGTGTGCAGAGCCAGCTGTGGCCGTCCCATGTCTCACACGGCACATTGAACCCCTTCTGTGTCTCTTTCTCTCGGCCATGTCAGTTTTCTCCTTCCCCCCACCTTCATTCTCTCACTCCTCGCACTGCCTGCTCTCCGACCGCCGCTCTCCATTAGAAGCCTCCCCGGCTGTCCGGGCTCAGCCATGGGCGCCCTGTGATTGGCCGAACTGGGTCACGTGCCGCAGCGGCGGACAGCTGGCTGCGGGTGATCTCGGTCGGCGCAGCCGCTTGCTCCCGCCTCGCTGTCCGGGCCTCAGCGCTGGGCCTCCGGATCTCCTCGTCCGACACAGCATGGGAGACAAAAAGAGTCCTACCAGGTGAGCGGTGCTGGGGGACACGGCCGGCGGTCCGGGGAGGGGGGGCGGTGTGGAGGAGCGGCCGGCAGACGAGGAGAGGCCTTGTCGTGTGTCTAACCTGTGTGTTTGTGTCTTCTCACAGACCGAAGCGGCAGCCGAAGCCCTCCTCAGACGAAGGCTACTGGGACTGCAGTGTGTGCACCTTCAAGAACAGCGCCGAGGCCTTCAAGTGCCTGATGTGTGATGTACGCAAGGGGACCTCCACTCGGTGAGTCTCACTTCTCCTGCCACCATCTTCCTGGGACATGCTTTGTACATGTGTGACCTGCAACATGACCAGTCCCCAGGTATGAGAAGCCAGGACTACAGATGTCCACACGCCGATCAGACAGATCATTAGAGGGAAGAACATGGATTATCTCATGACAATGGCATCTGAAATTGGGGGGGGGGGGCCCATATATTAGGCAGCAAGTCAACATGTCGTCCCTGAAGTTGATATGTTGAAAGCAGAGTAAGGATGTGAATAATGTAGCCTAGCTTCACACTTATACAGTGCTAGAAATACTGCGATCCCTGCGCATTTCCCACACCACGTTGCAATCGCACTGCCCTTGTCATCTGCTGAAGGGCCAGTACAAAGTTGATGCCCCAAACGCATTTTGCAAACGCACTGCATCACATGGCCGTTTTGTACTGGTTGCAGTGTGGGTCAGAAGAGTGTTTTTGGTGCCTTGTGGTGCAATTTGAGCCCATTCAAAATGAATAGGCTCAAATCACACCACACTGAATTGCACAGGAATGCTCCTGTGCGATTCGCATGCCGTTATCTGCTTGCTGACCGCCCCACATAGGAGTACGGTGGCAGCGCGGCTCTCCTACACTGGATCAAGTATCTGATACGTTATCTGGCTCTTCCAGGTAGGGGACATGCACACACTGCCTGCCTCTTTTATTATTATTGTTATTATACAGATTGATATAGCGCCAACAGTTTGCGCAGCGCTTTACAAAATGAAGGTAGACATTAGTTACAATACAATTTGGTACAAGAGGAAACAGAGGGCCCTGCTTGTTATAGCTTACAATGATTGCCTCTCCCAATGTGATGTGATTAGTCCGGACCCGCTGATCAGCAAAGCGGATGACAACACAGAGCTCTGTCCTGTTAGCGAGGATGTGCCGGTTTTTGTTTCCCTGCAAATCGGCAAATAAATACCAGCACATCCCTTAGTCCCGGTTATCATTTACAGTTGTGCTCAAAAGTTTACACACCCTAACAGAAATTGTGAATTTTGGCATTGATATTGAAAATATGACTGATCATGCCAAAAAATGCTCTTTTATTGAAGGATGATGATCGTATGAAGCCATTTATTATCAAGCAGTTGTTTGGCTGCTTTTTAAATCATAATGATAACAGAAATCATCCAAATGGCCCTGATCAAAATTTTTACATACCCTGGAATGTTTGGCCTTGGTACAGACACACAAGGTGACACACACAGGTTAAAATGCCAATTAGAGGTTAATGTCCCACATCTGTGGCTTTTTAAATTGCAATTAGTGTCAGTGTATAAATAGTCAATGAGTTTGTTAGCTCTTATGTGGAAGCACTGACTAGGCTAGATACTGAGCCATGGGGATCAGAAAAGAACTGCGTAACAAGGTAAGGGAATGTTATAAAGATGGAAAAGGACATATAAAGATGTCCAAAGCCTTGACTATGCCAATCAGTACTGTTAAATCACCTATTAAGAAGAGGAAAGTTCAGGGATCTCTTAATGCCAAGGTCAGGTAGACCAAGAAAGATTGCAGCCATAACTGCCAGAAGAATTGTTTGGGATACAAAGGGAAACCCATAGGTAAATCAGATTTACGTCCTTTTTTCCCACGAATTGATCTTTCTTTTGGTGGTATTTGATTGCCTATGTGTTTTTTTTTTTTTTTGGTTTTTTTTTTTGCGCTATTAAAAAATAAAAGACAGACAATTTTGAGAAAAAAACTATTTTTTGACTATTTGCTATTTTCAGTAAAAAAATTATAAAAATTCCCATTACGTGTAAATGAATTGGTTTACATGAAAGTTATAGCGTTTAGGCGGTATAATACTGGGATTTTTAACAAAATTTCTAGTAATGGCAGCGATCAAGACTTATAGCGGGACTGCGGCAGGCATTCTGACACTGGGGGGAACTGACCTGTGACAACAATACAGTGATCATGCTAATAAAAAGCACAGACACTGTTAATGGAACTGGGCAGGAAGGGTTAACATGAGGTTGATCAAAGGTTTAAACTGTGTGCTGTTTCACTAAGTGCTGTGTCCGTGTGCTTTACTGTAAGCACACTGCTTTGGATGGCTGTGCTCTGCACAGCAACCAAAGCAGTGTGCACAAGCTGACAGGGAGGAGAAACTGTTTTTGTTTACAGACGTTCTCCCCATCAGATGACAATTGGGACCCAGTGCTTGACCGCGGCGAATGGCTGGGCGGCAGAGCATCACATCTGGCCGAAATTGTTGGCACCCTGGGGGTATTTCTCACGAAACGTGCATTAACACATGTTTTGCTATACACATGTTTATTCCCTTTGTGTGTATTGGGACAAAACAAAAAAAGGGAGGAAAGAAAGCAAATTCGACATAATGTCACACAAACCTCCAAAAATGGGCTGGACAAAAGTATTGGCACCCTTTCACAACTGCGGATAAATAAGAATGTTACAAGCATGTGATGCTCCTGTAAACTCACCTGGGGCAAGTAACAGGTGTGGGCAATATAGAAATCACACCTGAAAGCAGATAAAAAGGAGAGACGTTCACTTAACCTTTGTTGTGTGTCTGTCTGTGCCACACTAAGGACAACAGCGAGAACTGTCCGAGGACCTTTAGAACCAAAATTGTGGCAAAAACAACAATCTCAAGGTTGGTCCATCTCCAGAGAACTAGATTTGCTTTGTCCACAGTGCGCAACATTATCAAGAAGTTTGCAACCCATGGCACTGTAGCTAATCTCCCTGGCTGGACGGATGAGGAAAATTGATGAAAGATTGCAACGCAGAATAGTCCGGATGGTGGATAAGCAGCCCCCAAACATGTTCCAAAGACATTCAAGCTGTCCTGCAGGCTCAGGGAGCATCAGTGTCAGCGCGAACTATCCGTCGACATTTAAATGAAATGAAACGCTATGGCAGGAGACCCAGGAGGACCCCACTGCTGACACAGAGACATAAAAAAGCAAGACTACAGTTTGCCAAATTGTACTTGAGTAAGCCAAAGCCTTCTGGGAAAACGTCTTGTGGACAGATGAGACCAAGATAGAGCTTTTCGGTAAAGCACATCATTCTACTGTTTACCGAAAACGGAATGAGGCCTACAAAGAACAAAACACAGTACCTACGGGAAAATATGGTGGAGGTTCAATGATGTTTTGGGGTTGTTTTTGCTGCCTCTGGCACTGGGTGCCTTGCCTGTGTGCAAGGCATCATGAAATCTGAGGATTACCAAAGTAGGGTCGCACTGTGGGAAGTGTCAGAAAGCTGGGTTTGCGTCCAAGATCCTGGGTCTTCCAGCAGGACAATGACCCCAAACATACGTCAAAAAGCACTCAGAAATGGATGGCAAAGAAGCGCTGGAGAGTTCTGAAGTGGCCAGCAATGAGCCCAGATCTAAATCCCATTGAACACCTGTGGAGAGATCTTAAAATTGCTGTTGGGAAAATCCTTCCAATAAGAGAGACCTGGAGCTGTTTGCAAAGGAAGAGTGGTCAAAATTCCGGGTGAGAGGTGTCAGAAGCTAATAGGAAGCGACTGATTTCAGTTATGTTTTCCAAAGGACCTACCAAATATTAAGTTAAGGGTTGCCAATACTTTTGTCCAGCCCATTTTTGGGGTTTTGTGTGACATTATGTCATATTTGCTTTTCTGCCTCTGGTTCCAATACATACAAAGGGAATAAAACATGTGTATAGCAAAACATGTGTTTAATGCAATACCTTTTTTGTGTGAAATACTTGATTTTCAGGAAAAATATCAAGGGTGCCAACAATTTCGGCCCATGACTGTATATGTGTGTGTGATTTTGCGCACCTGTGCTGCCCTGTAGCAATATTTCTAAAGTAGGGCGGTTGGGAAGTGGTCACACAGTGCCGATATAGCAAAAAATGGCCTGGCCAGGAAGAGGGTAAAATCTTCTAAGTGATATTGTGAACCAGGGCTTAGGCAAGGGCCACATTGTAATGGCTAGATGACTGGGTCGGTCAGGACCTACCAAAATGATCTAAGGATAATTATATTGGTGACATGGTTATGGGCGTCAAGGCTTATTGATGTACATAGGGAGAGAAATTGCAAACAAAGGATTTCCAGCAACACTTACCTGCCAGCCTGTGAAACAACCGATTTGGCCTTGTCTAACAGTTTGCGTTAGAAATGGATAGGTTAAGAGGAGAAGCCCATCCCTCCTTAATAGTACAGGGTTGCAATTTTTTGCGTACATATGGAGAGAAGACTGGTCCGTGTTGTCCGATCCAATAGAGGAGCTACTGTAGTTAAAATTGCTGAAAGCTAAAGCAATATTAAAGTGGTTCTAAAGCCAAAACATTTTTTTTACTTTAATGCATTCCCTGCCTTAAGATAAAAATGTTTTATTGCCCCACATCAATGCTGGCTGATCAGGCAACCTGGCACCATATTTTCTATGAGGGGCATTGGATCAGATGTGCATTCTCTTCTCCCAGAACACACACAGACCAGCAATCTGTAACTAGCTTTTCAAGCATGTGCTCAGACTTAGTGGTTGTATAGCTGTTTTTTTTTTTTTTTTTTTTTTTAAACAAACATGTTTTACTTACCTGCTCTGCGCAATGGTATGGTGTGCAATGGAATAGTATGCGATGGCACAGAGCAGCCCCGAACCTCCACTTCTGGGTTCAGCGATCTTGGCTCCTCCTCTTCTGTGGGCTCGATCCTGAACCAGGCTGTGTTTCTATGGGCCTGCTCCCTTTGCACTGGGTTTGGCTAACAACAGCGGGGCTAATGGCTCGTACTGCTGCCGAGTCTCGTGAGCAAAGCGAGGGGAGAAGAGCTGCTGCAAACAGGCACAGCACTAGATCGAGATCAGGCTCAGGTAATTGTCTAGGGGTGGGGGGGGGGCACAGACACCTGAAGGTTTTTTTTTTTTTTTTTTTTTTTTTCTTAATGCAGAAAATGCTTTAAAGTAAAAAAACATTTTGCATTTACAAGCCCTGTAACATGTCCCTGAGACAG